TGTATTTTTGTACAACAAAGAAGAATTTAAAAAGGTGATAAACGTTTATCACAACTTACAAAAACACAGCATTTGTGTTGGGATTTCTTTTATTTTAGCAACTATGTTATTATAATTAAGTATTCTACAAAAAGACATGGTAAGAGGGGACCAGCCAAAGCAAAGGGAGAAGACAGAAAAGCAGAGCAAGAGAAGAAAAATATGTGCTAGCTAGGACTTCCGCCCAAGGCAAGGATCTGCTTTTAACCTCTGATCTGGCATGAAAAGAAAATTGTTCATCTTAGAATAACTTCTCCCAGCGCCAGTAATGAGAATTTTAAAAGAGAAGAATTACATGACAGAAACCCATTTCTTCACACTTGAAGAGATTTAGAAAGTAAACAGTGACTGTTATAGATGATTTTTCAGACTTGATCTTTGAATTCACAAAGATAATTTAACTTTGCAACTCCTTGATATGGTTTCTGAAATTCTTACATTTCTGTTGCTATGAATTGCTCTACGGTGGGGTAACACAGTAAAAACGCCATTTGGCATGATCGCCATAGTCATTCATTGAGTTTCCCTTCAAGATCAGGAATTAACCAAGAATAATAAAACAGGCTGAAGGATCTTTTAAAAAGTTTTATCTTTTCCTTTTACACTTCAGCTTATAATTCTTAGGGATAAGGAAACATTGAATTTAGCCTCTAAACCAAAAATGCTGAAGTTCTAACAAATCATAAGATCTAAATCTAGTTTGGGGAATTTTTTTTTTCAGCACAACTGAATTCTTTGAAATTAAAGAAAAAAACTCAAATGAGATATTTTTAAAAATTGCCAATATTTATTTAAAAAACATAAAACCTTCCGATGAACGAGCAACATGTGAGATGGCTGAACTGGAAACACAGGGTTTTACATAGGAAAAAGACATATGTATGTAAATTCTGAAAGCATTTTAGTTATTCAGGATGCTTTACTATTAAATTTTATTAAAACCTCATTAAGAGGGAAATCTCAAGTCACTTATTATGTTCCACAGTTATTGTAAACGGAACAATTTACAAGAGAAGAAGAGATAATGATATTAACTTCTTAACTTAAAGTGATTTCAAAATATTCTCTTGGTCTGAAATTTATGTAAATTGAATTCATCTATCATTAGTTATTACCAGCCCAGCTACATTAAAAAACAACAAGTTTCCTTAACAATTAGTTCTTAACAACACTGTGTTTAAACTAGATCTGGGACATTATTAAACTAGCTATAAATATGTACAATATTTTATTTGGTATACCCACATGCCTAAAGATCAACAAGAACGCTCTCAAAAGTCCATTCTTCAAAAGTTCTTTGAATGAAACCCTTTCATTTAAAGTTCCAAGGTAATCTGAAATAAACACACTTTTCAGATTCCATTATGCACATAAAACAGGAATGGTCACTCATAATCAGAAAATAATCATTGAATCAGTGTATATTAGAGCTTATAGGGCTTAGCCAGAAAGAATCGATTTCTTCATTTTATGTATGTCATAGTCAAACACAAAAACAATTATGGCAGATCTAAAAACTTAGATCTAAATTTTCACTCAAAGTGATTTCTACCACATCATACAGTGTTTTAAATAGATGATTCCCTTTAGTCCTCATCACAACTCCATACTGAGGCACTATCATGGCCCCATTTTATATACAGGGAAGGTTATATATGGGTTATATAAGGATCAAACCCTACAGTCTGACTCCATAAGCCATACCTCCTAGTACCGAGGGAGGATAACAGAGAAGGGTGAGGTCTGGGAGAACAGGTCTCCTCAGGGAGACCACAAGGATGTACCTGCAGGGTCCTCTCCATGGTGACTCAGCTCTTGGGAATTTGTAGACTTAACTTCCTGGAACCTGGAAATTTCCAAGTTCTGTGAAATCCTGTAGTTCTGTAGGGGCTGGACTAGCATCTCCCGCTTGATTCAAACTGGCCAATGGGAAGGGTACCTGTGGTATAGAACTTCTTAACTGTCAATAAAAGGAGAAAGACCAAGCCAGTTGGAGAGTGCAGCCATTTGGAAATCTATGTCCTAAACTCCTGGCCGATGAATAAGGCCCTTCCTCTTATAACTATGGTGTTTGGGTGCTCTTTCTCTCCGTTGGGCCTCATCTTCCTCTAACAGTACTAGCATAATCCTAAATTTTATAGATAGGTAGATATTTTCCACTTATCAAGAAAATGTCCAAATAACTATACTAAGTGCCACCCTTTAAGAATAAAATAAAACATACAGGCCGCAATTTGGAATTTCCCTTCTCTAAAGTAAGTCCTCCTCCCAATCCAAACTCAAGCACCAACTTCTCCCTGAAACTTTCTCCTATCATTCAACTGAGATTAATTTCTTTCTTCAAAACCTTTTGCTGTATATTACTTACATGCAGAAAGTGCCAGCTGTCTCTTAATATCGATTCTCCCCCTCTTCCTTAGTAACAGAAATCTAATTTTTAGCTCTTGGCAAATTGCTACATTTCCCAATCTCTCCAGTAGCTAGGTATAATCATGTGACTCCACTCTATAATTAAAATATTTATACAAGTATGAGGACGGAATTCTAGGAATGCTGTTAAAGAAAGCAGGCGTCACTTTTGTCCTTTCCCACCATTTTGCATTGCTATCCCAAATCTTGTTTTGGTTGAAGCCTCAAAAGCTATTTTGGAGCATGAGGCAACCTTGAGGAAGGAAACGGCATGCCATGGATGGTAGAGGAGAAAGACAGACCTCCTGGCCCATGATGAGACCATGAATCCACTGTATCATACTTGGACGACCTCTGTCTATATTTTATATAATAGAGACATAAACTTTTACCTAACTCACCATTATCCTTTTTTTCTGTTAAATAAGTGGAACCTAATTCTAACTGACATAGTTCAGACGCATGTGTATTTCATAACACAAGGTGTGTTGTAATTATAGTGAAGGGAAGGGAAATAAATACTTCCCTTAAAGCACTATGTAAAACACGCCCAGTCATAATTCTCACTCTCCAACTCTGGTGGTAATTTTCAACTCTGGGGGGAAAAAAAGGAGAAAAGAAGAGGAGTGAAAAAGGGAAACCAACAGGCGTGTCTCTTTACCATTGTTCATGCCATTTCCTCTTCTTTCTTCTCCACCAGCTAAGTCCTACCCTTGCTTCAAGGCCCACCTGAAAGAAATCACTCCTGCAAAACCAGTGAACTCAGAGTGCACACTGCCTGTGCCATTTACTTGCCAGTCAGTAACATCTTCCTTTCAGCTTGGTACCTTTTATGCTGTACTCCTTTTTCTATGTGTCATCTCCCCAACCTAGAGGGACCTACCTTGTATTTCTTTGCATCCTCTACAGGTTCTAGAAAACTTCATCAGTATGGCTGAAAGTCAATAAGCTTTTGATTGATTAACTGAATTAAGGTAAGAAGAAAAGTGAAGGAAGGAGAAAGAGCAGCAAACTATAGAGCGAGAATGTACAACTTCTTAGAAGTAAAAGAATGTAACAAAAATCCCAAAGAACCGGTTTTACCTGAATGAAACTTATCAAACAATTGGGCCCAGTAAAACAAACAGGGTTATATTCATATAGGCGGTGCAAACCTCACACCTTACGTAGTATTTTGCTCTCCAACAAAGAAATGGGATGTTTTGCTTCAGATATTCAGACTGAACAACTGAATTTATTTATTCAAATTTATTTTCTAGATTAGCCTAGATATTTTAAAGAGTAAGAAACCCAACTTTGGAAGCCACGTTTTGGTAGGGAATGTCTGGGATTCCAAACCATATACCAAAACTGGCTTCCAGCAAGATCATATTTTAGAAGTATTATTCTGAAAAACTTAAGACAAATGAAATAATGGCTTAAAATATTGCTAAGTCTAAACTAAGTAGTCCAAGAGATCATTTTTGCTAGATTTTATTACCTCTCTTCTAAGACCCAATAAATAATGCAGCATCACAAAAAGTTATTACTACCTCTTTAAAAACAGAATGTATTTTTAAACGTGTATTTTGCAGAAACTGTGTTATTAAAAGCTCTTTAAGGCTATCAGATAGTAAAAGCTGAGTAGCACTATATATGCAGAATTAACACTATGTAACAATACATTTCAAAGCTTTAAATACAGGTAACTGATATTTTATCTAGATTCAAGAGTCATTTTATGCCCCACTGATTTTATTCTCAATTATTTATAAATCATAGTACTATATATCTGCTCATGAGTTAAGTACCTAAAAATATAATACTCTAACTTATTTTTATAAATGTAACAAAGTTTCAGGGTATGATACAAATATTAAATAACAGAAAATACAGTTTCTTTCTTATTCATGACACAAATTGTTTTTGCTATATCCTTCATTTCTAAATAATGATTGAAAATGCTAAAATAACATCCTTATATTTGTCCTACTTATGAAAGTTGAACCACTTTTGATTCTTTTTACATATAATAATAATAGTTTCAACCTCTAAAAAATATTGCATTGTCTTGAAAATTTCTCATTATTTCTATTTTCCTTTCAAATTTTTTAACACACATTTCTCAGAAGTATCTCAGACGGTACCTTCTTTGACAGTGAAATGTACAAAACAAATGACATGTCAACAAGTAAATTAGCATTCCCTCTCTGACCAGCTGGGTCACATTTCCTTTTCAAAATCCTCAGTCCCATGATACAAAATAATAATAATCTAAAAGACCTCATTAAATGATCAATATATAGATATGCCCTCTTTAAGGAGACACATAGTATTTTAATTGATTCCTTGAATCCATTAACTGGAATATTAAAACCCGAGCCTCCAAAATACACTGTACAGGAATATTTATTAGCTCATTTTCTTTAGGGTCTGGGTAATGGCAAATGAAAAGATTCAAGAACTTTTACATTTAGCTAAAGAGTAAAGCAAGTCTAGCTTTCACTAAATCTTTCATATGAACAATATCACAGCAGAACTCATAATAGACAAATTAAACCACATTTACTTACCAAAAAACTTCCAAAGGCTGAATTAAATATTGCAGCTGCCTATAGAAAAAAATAAATGGGGGGAAAAAGCTCATTGAAAGTAAACAGGAATAGGAAAAGCACAGATGATCATCCTCCCTTCCCCCACTTTTCAAAACCTTAAAACATTGATTCTATAAAGCAAAGTTAGTCACTGCTTACAAAAATTGCCAGTGGCCTGTAGTTTACTAAGATAGATGAGCTGCAGCTCAGGAATTCATAAATAATGGGTCTCAAAAGCAGGCAGAAATACTTGTCATGCCTTGAATCTATGTGACAGCACCAAAAGAATCGTCACCAACACTAAATCAAAACCTCGTTGCTATTGATTTTGCTACTAGATTTAAAACAATCAGAGGTTGATTTAATCATCAAAAAATTCATATTCCTGGGAGAAGGAAAAACAAAATGATAAGGCAAACATTAACCGCTCCCTGTCAGTGAGCCTAAGTCTTAGGAACTACAACCACAAGGTGAGATCTGTTGTTCCCATAAAACACACATTAGAAATATGAACAGTGCTGTTAAGATCGGGGAAGTTACTGGTATACCATTAATTCTAAGGTCCAAACAAGCAAGAAAAATTCCATTTGGTATTCAAGATACAAAGAAGAAATTTCTGACTTTGTGCTTACCTAAATATCCATGGATACTCAGTGGATGTTATATAGCTCTTAACTTTAAAGGAATCTCTCCATTCCATGAAGCTACACTAAAGTCCTGAAAGCTTCTCTCCTTACCCCCAAAGGAGAAAAACTTGTATAACATCCAGTTTGAAGAAAGAAAATAAGAAAAAAATAGTAAAAGAAATAAAGAACACCTATTTACATTTCCTGCAGCTGGAGAGCAGAATTAAGTTAATCATCTTGGACATTAGCAGCCACACTGTAGTGCGGAGAGGATGTCTGTCAGTTAAGTAAGTTTGAATAAAGTCCAAAGCCAGGCTAAGAGCTGTAGCTGAAAATGCCTTCTGCTCCAGAGGAGGATGCAATGAGAGTGAATGGGTAATGAGGTCCTTGGCTCCAGAGAGCTTAGCTCTCCTATTCCAGTTCATAATTAATTCAAAGCTTTGATAATTTCATTAGATTTCTCCTTTGCTGGCCCTATCAATAAAAGATGGCACTGGACCAGAGCTCCTCTGTGGCATAAACACAGGCACAGGCACAGACTAGGGAAACCTTTGCTTCCTGACAGGGACAATGGCATATGGTGTTCCGTGTTGTACAGGGAGCCGTGGAAAAAAAAAAAAAAAAGAGCTAAATAAAACATTATAGACAACAACTGTAAACTGTAGCAACATATTTAACGCATCTTCCTGGAATTACACTGTGGATGATTCCAAGAACGAGTTTTATGTATGGAGAAAAATAAGTAGGAGGGTATAAATAAATGAGGTGTGGTGAGATCAACAGGAAACACTTGCCTACAAACATTTTTACATCTAGACCCTACTTTGTATTTAAAATGGATTTCTCTCTCTTTTTAGTAAAGGAATGAAGCCTTCCCCTTTGAGCGCCTCTCTTCTAGAGTCATTTCTTTCTGGTGCCTTATCCTAGATAACTAGCAGCTTTGCCTAATATTTAAACATAGAATCATTAGAAGTAAAAGACTCCAAAATCAAAGTAAAATAAGTATTTCCCAGATCGAATTGCCCCACTCCCATTCCCTCATGTTATCTTTTTTTTTTTTTTTTGAGACAGAGCCTCAAGCTTTCCCCCTGGGTAAAGTATTGTGGCATCACAGCTCACAGCAACCTCCAACTCCTGGGCTCAAGTGAGTCTCCTGCCTCAGCCTCCCTTGTAGCTGGGACCACAGGTGCCCACCACAATGCCTGGCTATTTTTTGGCTGCAGCTGTCATTGTTGTTTGGTGGGCCTGGGCTGGATTCGAACCCTCCACCTTAGGTGTATGTGGCTGGCGCCTTAGCCACTTGAGCCACAGGCGCCGAGCTCATGTTATCTTTTTTAACCCAAACACAAGCAACGTATTTTATGTGAATTGGCCATGTTCCTGCATTTGTAAAATGACAGTGATATCAGAGATGGAATATCTTAGGTACTTGAAGATGCCACAGGCCAACTCACTCTTAGCTGTTTTCTGACAGCAGTGATGGATTTGAACTCACTCAGCTACAATGTCCTCCCATGTGGTGAGCTCTGGCAATCTTTTGTGACGTGGCTGAATAAGGTTTCGCGTCCATGTAAAATCAGACACTGAACTGAGGATATTGGGCTCAAAACTCACAGATAACTAAGCTAATAGCTCATAGATATGCTGCAGTTGCAGCATATATGCACTGTGGATGACTTGGAATCATCCACAGTGTAATTCCAGGAAGATGCGTTAAATATGTTGCTACAGTTTACAGCTCTGGCAATCTTTTGTGATGTGGCTGAATAAGGTTTTGCGTCCATGTAAAATCAGACACTGAACTGAGGATATTGGGCTCAAAACTCACAGATAACTAAGCTAATAGCTCTTATATATGCTTAGCTTATATATAATTTTCAGAATTTAATATATAATTTTCAGAATTCCACAGAGAAATGATAAATATGGAGAGAGTATTTTATTAATACATAAAAGACATATCTTTTGATTTAAGGAGGAATTTCCAGCTCCTTAGCATGATGTGCAAGGCCTTCCATGAACAGGTCTCTCTCCATTTCATCCCCTGCCTCAAATTTTATATTCTGATGACATCAAACTACTTGCAGTTTCTCAAATTCATCAGGCCTCTTCCTACCTCTTTGCTCCCTGGCCTGAAATACACTTCTCCCCTCCTCTGCCAGATAATTCTCACTCAAGTTAGTGACTCAAAGTGGGCGCCATCCTTCCGAGATGTTCTCCATCACCTCCACATGCACACACATGCACTTAGCGTGCACATATGTCTACCCTGGAAGACTGAGTGTCCCAGTACTTGCTGCCAGAATATGCTGAGTCTATCTCTGCCATGGCACTTGTCACACTGCATTGAAATAACCTATATTTTAAAGTCTTCTAAAAAAGGAATCTAATAAAACTCATCCTCAGCACCTAAATGTTTGTTAATGAATTGCTGAAATAAGTAAGATCCCCTGAAATGTCCAAAGTCTTTCACTCCGACTAAGTTACTCTACATGTGTGTTTGGTAGAATCCAAGGATTGTACACACAGAAGACTAGATCTGACACCTGGTGCCACAACCACACACTAGTAATGACAGTCAAGCTAGACTTCCAACCATCACCTAATCTAAGCGTGATGCCCTAACTCCATCCATTTTGAGACAGTAAACCAGACTTACTCCATTTTGTTAGGAGCTTGCAGCTTCCCCCTTTTTGTAACCAAAATAGCCCCTTGGGCAAGCAGTGACCCTGTAAAAACCGGAAGGAAATCTAGTTGAGAGCTGCAGAATCCTATGACAACTGAAAAAATCTTTTTTTGTTTGTTTGTTTGTTTGTTTACAACTGAAAAAATTTTGTGGAAACCACAACCCTGTCGCAGGCCTGTCTGGTCTGTCTGTGCACTGTAAGAGCCTCCCCATAGCTCTAACCTTGCAGATATCAACTTCTGTAGAATTCTGCTTATGCTAGGACTTCCCATCTGCTGCTTGAAGTGCCTTATAAAAACTCTGCACTTGACCCACTTCGAGGGGGTCAAGAGACTTTGTGGTGTGAGCCTGCTCTTGACTGGCCAGCCCAATAAAGGACCCTGGCTTAATTTGAACTCAGTGCTGGCGTTTCTCTGTAATTCCACTCGCGGCAGGTACAACATAAGAACATCTTTCACAACATCTTGTTTAGCTTCCTTCAAAATGTTTTAACTTTCTTATCATAACAGAGTGACATAAATTACATTCCATGTAAATAATGTTTTAAACTTTACTGTTGCTAAACAACAATAGTTAGGTAAAATCTAATATTACCAAGAAAAGCTTTGCCCCACTATAAAAGGATAATCTCCATACACTGATATAAATGAAAGCAGGCACAGATATTTCAAATGAAAAAGCAGTTTTGATAAGTATGTATGATTCCTATTGTATAAATATGTACACACACAGAGAGAGACACATACAAACACAACTAAGGTATAAAAGCACACCATTTTTTTCTAAAGGTGATCACTAAACATTTCTAACTATGATTACATATGTTGAAAGGGACTAAAGGGAGGTCTTTCCTTTTTCATTTTGTTTTGTTTGTCATATTCAGCTTTTAAATCTTTTCACAGGTTATCTTTTCAACTTCAACAAGGATTATGAGGGCAGGGAGATGTGAGGCTACTTATTGTTTGCTTTTCGAACTCCTCTGTATTAAAAATATAATAAATACTTTATTTTAAAATAAAATTAAAATTTCAATCCCCTGGCCTGAGCAAAGCAAGACCCCATCTCTACTAACAATAGAAAAAACTACCCAGGAGTTGTTTATAGCATGTACCTATAGTCACAGCTACTCAGGAAGCTGAGACAAGAGGATCACTTGAGCCCAGGAGTTTGAGGTTGCTATGAGCTATGACGCCACAATAATCTACCCAGGGAGTAGTGAGTGAGACTCTGAGTGAGACTCTGTCTCAAAAAAAAAAAGAAATTCAATTCCTACTTTGCAGGGTAGTGATCGTTCTTACTGTTTGCTCACAAGCTGGAGGCTGAGCACTCATCATGGTGGTTGGGTTTTAAGAAGCCATGGGAAGAACAGAAGGCATCTATAACACGCAAACATGTGAAACAAACAACAAGTCCACTATTATTTTTCTATTAACACAAACCTGGCTATAAAGAACACAATCTTCATGAACTGAGATCAAACATGAGCCAGCAAAGACGAATTTTATGAAGATAGGACCCTTCAGGTTATACCAACAAGACCCTCTAGGGATCTGAGTTTTCTCTTCTCTGCGTTCTGAAAGCTATACCTGGGATAGTCCACTGATTTTTAAATATAGCACTTCTCTTTTTAATATCCCCTTTGCTAGAAACAATTTCAAAATCCATTCCCCTTCTGGAATGCTTTATCACAATAAGAATTTTGCCTA